AACCGATGCTCAAGACGCCCAAGCTATTGAAGAAGTAGAACAAATTAGGCAAAGGGCTATATCGGCTATCCAGCACTATTTGTCTCGGTGACCTTTTGTGTAATAGGTCTTAGAAATTTTTGTAATCGGCTAAGATATTCTAGTACTTTACTGTCTTGACAATCTTTTGTGCTGATTAATTTAACTTCTAAATTTACTCAAAAACTTTCATTTCTTGCATATATGTGCCCCACTAATTTTACAATGTCAAAAGCATTGATAAAATTATAAAAACGACTAAGGGCGATATAACAATATCGGCCATTGTACACCGGCAACCTACAACCGATTACAATAGAAAAACAACTAAGGGCGATATAACCATATCGGCCATTGTACATCGGCAAACCACAACCGATTACAATATGAAAACAACTAAGGGCGATATAACCATATCAGCCATCTCAAGGCGATGTAAACACACCGGCTATCATGTATCGGCAACATCAGCCGATCATGCATTAACCCAAACACTTGGGTAATATTTCTTCTTCAAGTATTTGACATTTAGTGCTCTTCCATAAACTTCTCCATCGAGTCCTTGCAACATGTATGCTCCCTTAGATACAACTTTGTAGATTTGGAACGGTCCTTCCCAATTCGGCGACCACTTGCCGAATTTGCTATCACGAGTTCCAACTGGCAAAATCAACTTCCATACAAGTTCTCCCTCCGAAAAATCTTTAGGCACCACTTTCTTGTTGTAATGCCGAGCAACTCGTTCTTTATCCTTGGTAACCTTTGCAAGGGCTCTTAATCTGGATTGGACCAAGTCTTCTCTTTCATCGGCCATAAGGTTATAATACTCATCGGCTGTTAAATCATTTTGCAACCCCGTTCCCTTGAGCCGATTCTAACCTCCCATGGTAAAACAGCCTCATGTCTATAAACAAGCTTATAAGGAGGGACTTGGATCGATCCATGACAAGCCATCTGATAAGACCACAATGCTTCGGCCAATCTTTCTCTTAATCAACTTGATCAGACTTTTGTTAGGTGCATCGGCCTGCCCATTAGCTTGTGCATAATAAAGCAAAAAGGGTGGCGACGCACCGAAATTGTATTGAACGTGTGTGTTAATTGATTACATGGGATTCGGGGTCTATATATACCCGAAAATTACAAACAATGTACATAACGGACACGACTCTTATCTCCAACAAACTCTAAGATACCATAAGTCTTTACGGCAGACTTTTGCCCAAACATATCTCTAAGGAAATTACATAAAATATCCTAATTAATAGATACAATTGCCTTCTCAGGACTCTATCCATGCGTGGCAATCACCTTGAAGCATATCAACTCAACCCGATGTCGTACACCAAGTCGTATTGTCGGAATCGGCTGTATCACCTGACCCAGTCTGACTCGGACTTAGCCGATCCTAATCATAGCCGATCTGGACTCCAGCCGACTCTTACTCTGTTCCCAAATCGATCTTCGTCTTTGATTCCGCCCCGATCTAATCTTCATCTCCGATGCTGATATTGCCAAATTTGGTTGTTAACAGTCACCCTCAAGATGCTCGGGGGCAAATCCCAAACCGTCCTGCTAAAGGAGAATGGACGATGCCAGCCATCTCTCCTCGGGTTTCTAACGTCTTCCCATTTAAGGGTGACAAGACAAATATCTACCAACGGTGAGGACCGTGGGAGAGAGGGCGACAACTGTTATTGTTGCAGCCTGTTATTTTGGCCCCGATCCACCCTAACAGGGGCGTGGGAAGGCGAAAGACGCGGTTGACTACTTTGCTTCTGCATGCCCCACCCCCACCCCTCAATTTTTTTACTAGCCTTTACCTGACACTAACAAGTGGGCCCACGGCCAAGGCAGCGCGGTAACCCTATTCCTACATGTCCGAGTGGAATGGATGGGGGCGCCTGGCCACGCCCCTTGCCATGTCCTGACCCAGGTGGGCCCCATGGGGGGAACCCGAGCTCAGCAAAGCAAGCATAGCAGGGAGGTTCTTACAAGACTTCCCTTACATAACATCTCTATACGCTAGACACCTCCCTCATAGTTTGGTCATGTAGTGTGTTGGTATTTCTTACGTTTACTAGATAAAATCTACAAGCGCACGGAGATACTGTTGTAGCACTTCACCCGGAAGTATTCCAAGGTAACAAATTTCCACAGGGAATGTTTGTGTTTAGCTCTTCTTTAGGTTCATCCAAGGACACAAGATAAATGTAGGCCAAAGGGTAGAGAGGATTTTCTAATGTGGTACAGGGTCATTTAGAAAGCTTAACTTTAATCATATCGCTATACTTCAGGCACTGGCTTGCTCGCTGCTACCAGAATGCGCTCTACTTCGTACCCGGATAGGGAGGACTACGGTGATCTCGAGGGCTATCACCACCTCTACACCAACCTCCAACTTGCTGTGGGATACTGTTGATAGAAAACACGGTGGCCTGGGAGATCTGCTTAACTCCAATGCAGGTCCAAGGCTAGCCTTGAGTGAGTCAAGGGCGTGTCAGTTGGTTTGATCCTACAACCAGCAAGGAAAACAACAAACAAAGTGAGTCAGCCGATAGCCGATCGGCCGATAGGCCGAAGACGTATCATTGGTGATCCCAATCGATGTAGTTAGACCAGATCGACTATGGATTGATATATAAATTAAACACAAACCCTAAATATGCCTCATCGGTTGTAGTATCATTTGTTTGGTTTATCAAGTGTATTTCAGACGATACTATAGAAATAGCCGATGGAACAGTATTTAGAGCAAGATAGATAAATAAAGATAATGTACTAGCTAATACTCTAGTACAAACCTATATAAACAAATCAATCGATAGAAATATATCAAATAAAGATCAGTTACCAAGTTTGACAACTCGGCCGATACTGGTCTAGACTTGATATATTTATTGCAAATTTTGCCACAGGACATCGCAATTGTGTGGTTTTAGCTCAAGGACACCGTGAAAGTGAAGTTTTGGAGGAAGACATCCCATAATCGTGGATATTTGCCGATGGACACCGCGCCGTCTAAAGGATACTTGCCGTGCTGACGTGGCGGACGGGAGGCCTTTTTTGACGCCGTCGGACGTAAATACCCCTACACCATGTCGTGCTGACGAAGAAGGGAGTAGTGGGTCCCACGTTGAAGCGGTTGTGTTGGTTAAGAGGAGGATGAAATAGAAATTTACCCCAGTGGGGCCCAGTTGCCATTGAGACATTGGAAGGGATGAGGAGGGAATAAATATTGCGCAAGAGATAATAAGGTTATGTGGGGCCCACTTGACAGTGTCCCACTCCTCTTCTTTTTCTTCTCTCTCGATTTCTTCTCCTCTCGATCTCTCCTCATCTCTCTCCCTCTCATTTCCCTTTCTCCCCACATGCGTGCGTGCCTGAGCAGGATGCGGCAGGCACGCGACGGCGTGGGCTGAGGCGACGGCGGCGGCCTGAAGGCAACCCGGCGGCGTCAAGTGGATGGGGAGAAAAGACCGGCGCAGCGAGGAGGTACCGGGGCAGCACCGGGCAGAGGAGGCGGAGGTGGAGGAGCTGGGTGGTCGCGGAGGAGCCGCACGCAGGGCCGGCGCTCACAGCGTGGTGGTGGCCCCGAGCAAGACGAAGACGGCGGGTGGTGGCGAAGAGGCAATGGCGCGCGGGTGGTGCTCACGCAGGAGATGCGGCCGAGCGTGGCGATGGCTTGGCGTGGCGGCAGAGAGGGGAAAAAGGTAGCTGGCGCGGTGGCGAGTGGCTTAACGGGAGGCCCTTTTTTGCTAATGTGGTGCAGGGGTATTTGCGTCCGACCACGTCAAAAAACGGCCTCCCGTCCACCCCGTTAGCACGGCAAGTATCCTTTAAACGTGTAACATCCTGAAAATGCGTCATTTTCTAATCCTGCATCATGCCGATTATTATGTTCTTAATAACTTCCTAAACCTAGGATAATATAATTAGAGGGACCTCCTAGAACTAACTCGCACAAAACCTCTCTGGTATTTAATCTCTTTTGTGTTTTTCATTTAAAAATATATATTTGGTTAAATTGAGGTATTTCTTGATTTGGTTTAAAACCTTCTTTTGATTAAAATTTCTTTTATTCAAATTTAGTTTGAAAACCCCTTTGTATTTTTATGAATTATGGTCCAAGAAATTCTCCACTATTGTCCTAGAACCTAAACCAAACAATTCCAATTGGATTTAATTATCGACCCATCCTTTGATTTTAAACCTATCCTTTGATTCTAAACCTATTCTTATTTATCGCCAAACATCTAAATTCTTCCTTTTGATCTAGCCGCTAATTTAATTCCTGTGGCTTGATTTCCTTCTCGGCACAAGAAAAATATTATTACAAATATTATGAGTAATTGCTCTTGTGCTAAGAAAATAAATTATATCCTTGTCACCTAAATTTCCTTTTAGCCTCAAACAATTCCTTGAAACCCATGCCATATATTTTAGGGTTCAAATCCTATCCTTTTGCCTCCACCTATTTTCCTACCACATTCCCAAAAATATTTTGAGGAATACTATTAATTTACTTTCCTATTTGAGTGCTTCCAAATAAATTACCTCAAACTCCACCTCTAAATATTGCACTCAAATAAATTAGAAAATCTCCTTTGTGAATTCTCTCCTAATTCAAATTCTTCGCAAAACAACGTTAAATATACAAATTAGACTTCTTTCTTTTTGTCATCGGGCCGAAACTCCGTTCTTTCTTCCTTTTGGCCCAATCCTTTTTCTTTCTATTTTCCTCCTTCCTCTCTTGGGCTGCCGGCCCAGCTAAGCCGAGCCGGCCCAGTTCGGCCCACAACCCAGCCGCCTCCCTCCTCCCAGTGCGCGTGCCGTGCACGGCGCACGCCGCCGCAACCGTCGCCGCTAAGGAATCAAGTCGGCGCCGTCATCCTTCTTTCCACGCCATCGCCGTCGCCGATTCTCCCTTGTCTTCCTCCTCTTCGAACCGCCTCTCATCGCCTATATAAGAGGATGAACCCCCTCTGTTTATCCCCCACAAACCGAGCTTGAAGCTCTCCTCTCTTTTCTCTCTCCTTTCCATGGCCGGCTATCACTGTCGTCGGCCGATCTCCCTCACCGGAGCAATACCGGACAATCCCTCGCGCCATCGAGCTTTCCTCGATGAGAGGAATCCATTTTTCCCCTTTCCCCTCTTCCTCCACCTCTGAATCAAACCTCACCGGAGCTCTCTCTCTCCTCCCGGTTCACGACCTTCCATCCGCCGTTCCGGCTATTTCCCTTACTCCCTTTGCCGGCCACTGCCATCCCTAGGTGCGTTGCAGTCGGGAACACCAGTGGCCGCCGGCGTTACCGCCTCCTCGCCACCGGAGCCCGGCGCCCCCTCTCCTTCTCCTCTCTGTTCGACCAAGGAGAAAAAGAAGAAAGAGACGGGAAGAAGAAGAAGAGGAGAAAAAGAAAAAGAAAAAGGAATCCCTGACAGGTGGGCCCATGAACAGTATACTTTCGCAATTTACTCTATTTAATTCAAATTCCAATATTTAGAAGCCTATATCTCCTAAACCGCATATCCGATCTCAGTGAAACCTGGACCTAAATTCATCTAAATTCAAATGCTTCGTTTTGATGCCTAATTTGTTATTTTATAATTTTATTTGAATTTATTCAAATATCATTTGAATTTATATTTGCCTTTTTCAAATATTTTCTTTTACCCCAAAATACCCTTTAGCCACTAAAAAGCCGCCGGTTGGAACTTTACGCCTTCCATGGGGACGTTTGCGGTCTATTGGCCCCAACGTCGAACCGTTGGTTGTAAAGCCCAGCAAAACCAAACCCAAGGTCGAAGTGCTGCTCCTAGCACCCCACGCCTTGATGCGTACAACGGTCGGAGCTTCACTATTCCCTCGACCTCCACAGCACGCCTCATAGTTAGCTCTTGAGCTCTGTGTGATCCTAGCCGCTTCGCCGCCAGTCACGGTTGTCGGAGTAACACTTCCGCATCGCTAAACCTGCACAAACCTCCCATCCCTCTAGCCGTTATATTGTCTATCGACACCGGCTAGAGACGATACCAAACCTAGTCGTCATGCTTTAGAGACGACTAGCGAACACCCAAACCCTAGTCGATATTTATCTTACATCGATATACGCTTAGACAACTGAAACCTTAGTCAGCTTATTTTCTAGACTCCCCACCAGCTATAATCACAACCATTTACCCTCCTACTACCCATAGCCTATGCATGAATTACGATCCGATATGCTATCCTATTTCAACATCAACTCGAGAACAACTAAATCCTAGCCATTCTTCTACCAAAGCCCAACCTCGACCAATACTAGCCACATATCCACTTAACCAGATAGATTATTCGGTATATCTCCTACTCTCCAAAAAACCAAAACCCACACAAGAAATATAAGCGACAATTGTTGCTTAATCTCCTATCCACCTTAGCCCCCAACCCTTTAGAACCTGCACATAAAATATCAGCCCAGTAATCCATATACCTGCATAAAAGAGATAAGCTATACCCTAAACCCTAGTCCTCCTAACCGTTTATCTCTTTCTTGCTATTTTATGGCTTTTATCGAATTTGGATCTTCCTCTTCTTTAGTAGAGTCTATTTTATATGGATAGCAACCTGTGGTATTTCAAGCATCAGATAATCAGGTTGCCTATTTCGGATTTATTTGCGTTGGAGCAAGGCAAGTTATTATTATTCCTCTCCTTTGAGCATAATAATCCTATATTCTATATCTCCAGTATCTTGTGCATTAGCCATACATGATTTTAAATGCATAACCTGAATATATAGCAAACCAGATATATGCTAGATTTTGCTTAGCCATGCCTAGTTAGATTATGCATAAAATATAATGAACTTAGATTGGGACAGTACGGTAGAAATGGTTGATTTCCGGGTGGCTAGTACTGTTCCAACCAACATAAGACTGCCAAGTACATGTGAAGAACATACGAGTACGACCGCAATTCTCGTATGGGCATAGACCTAGCTGATTAAGTTATCTAGCAAAGGTGATACCTCTGTATAGTGGTTCTTCTTAAGTCCTCGCGCAGGAGGCAAACTTACACCGAGCAGGGCGATTGTGATATTTACCGAGGCGCAGGTAAATATCTTGATTATCTCGCGAGCTGTGTGTGTGAATTATGAAAACCTGATTGAGATGACGGGGGTCTCTCAACCAGTTCTCTCTAAAAACCCCGGGAACGCTAGAACTACTCTCGCTGCTGATAACATTACGTTCAGAGCGTATGGGGACTAGAGTTCATGGAACAGGTACTACTGATGTTAGTGACCGAAAAGCTTTGCCATGACAAGGCTAATGTGTTTGGCACGTCATGGATTGCGGGTAAAGCGTACATCTACTGCAGTATGAATATTATTAAAACTATTCGAATAGCCGTGCTCACGGTTATCGGGCATTGGGACTCACAATGATATCTTGGTTAGAAACATAATTTCAAACTTTATTAAATACTGTTGCATTTAAAACATTATAGACTTTCCTTCTATATTCTCTGCATTCTGCAAGTAAATCTAACCCTACTCAAATATTATTATTCCATGCATTCATTGTTGATTAATATAATAGCTTACTGAGTATGTTGTACTCACCCTTGCTTCAACCCCACATTTTTTTCAGAGTCCGTTTGATGTTCTTACTGAAGCCGGGAGTTCAATCATATAAGTTAATCTCATTTTAACTTAGTTCTCAAGTATAGATTAGATAGATGGTTTAAGTCTATAGCAAAACACTAGAGTTGAGTCATCGTATAGCTTCTGCTGTAATAGTTAGCCACAAGCTTGTAAATACCCTTATATTTTGTAATATTATCTCCTTTGAAACCTTGATCAAATGTATGCAATGAAGATCCAGATCATTGAACCTATATCAATCTACTGATCCAGGGCTTGATACAGTCTAAACATGTCGGTTTCCGAATCATTAGTTTTGGGACCCGACAAGACGGCGCGGTGTTCATCGGCAAATATCCACGATTATGGTATGTCTTCCCCCAAAACATCACTTTCGCAGTGTCCCTAAGCTAAAACCACACAATTGCGATGTCCTGTAGGAAAATTTGCCTATATTTATATAAGGTGATCTGTCTATATAAGTGGCAAATATACATAAAACTAGTAAAGAAGCATGTATATTAGGTAAGATCGGCTGAACTCTGATACTATCCTTAATTATGATTAATTGCAGGTTAGTTTTTTAGGGTTCAAGACAAGACTAGGGATGATGCATCGCAAAGTATGTAAAGAAACCTAAAGTCTAAACAATCAAGTAATTAACCAATTTTTAGGATGGTAGATTCCTTAGCTAATTTATTCTAGTAAGATGATTTAGCCGATATCAACAAGAACCCTAAAGCGGCAACCAGCCGATAAGGCTAAATCGAGATACTAAGACTAGATTAACTAAGACATATGATAGTAGATGGTCATGATAAAAGGACTAAAACATCTAAAGCGACATAATAGCCCCGATAGCTCAAGCCATCGAGACAAGTTACCTCTTGTCGAGAGAACTCGCCGAAAAGAAGAACAAAAAGGCTAGCAATGCACCAAAGTTGTATTGGATTTTTTTTTGTCCCTTATAACATTGATCTGGGGTCTATATTTATACCCCGAGTACAAACTCAGTCCATTATGGACACGACTCAAACTTTCCTAAAGATAAAATACAAACAAGACCACATGGCGGTCTCTTAACAAATCTTCAATAAACCAACTTAAATATCCTAATTAATAGATGCAATTGTCTTATTCGAGCTCTATCTCTAATTGGCAATTTCCGAGCCCAAGCCATATAGTATCGGCCACTTACCATATCGGCTAAGTTAAGCTTCGTTCCAGCCGATACGATGTCCAGCTGATGTGCAGTCCAACTTCAAATCTAACTTGATCTTGCATCAATCCGCTTCGATCTTGTTCCTTCTTCTCCGAGTCTGATGCAAAATTCCATTGTTAACAGATACACAACAAACATTGATAATTAACGACCTAGGCACCACGTCTATGCAATTAATTACTACGGTAGTGTCTATAACTCACCAAATCAATCACTATCTCTTAATGAACAATAGTGAACAATGATCCAGCAATCTGAATAGGAACTAACTAAGAAGCATACCACCCAAGATAAATCTCAACTACTTAATAAAGATATTTTCAATTAGAGCATAGTAATTGCTAAGGTACAAAAGAAATAAAGAGAGTTACCGACAACAGTGGAACTCCTCCAACTCTTTTTCCTTCACTCTTCCTCCTTTATTCTAAGTATGCATCAAATGAATACAAAGAGCCTCTTATAATTCAGCTCTACATCTTAGTGTGTTGTGAATGATGGAAGAGAGGGGTATTTATAGGAAGAGGAAGCTTGAGCATGTTGATTTCCTCCATGGAATCCTATGGGAATATTTTCTCCTCTTGCCATGTGTCTCTTCTGATGACGGTTACTGCGTGAGAAACGGTCCCAACCAACTTAGCATGTCAGTAACTGCCAGCCCGTGGAAAATGAGGCTGAGAGGAGCCAATCCTGGGTCAGCACCCCTCGGTGGCCCAATTGGCCCTAGCCTTTTTGTGGGCTTTGGCATGTAGGTCCTTATTCCATTGGCAAGGTGGTTGAGTTCAGTTATAGGTATTTTGTTGGGTTTATGGGCCCAAGGCTCCATTGGCTTGGATATGGAAATAATATTTCCCTCCCTCATGTGTATTTCATCTCAACTTTGGTAGTTTGTTAACTGCATCTAAATATAAACCAACACTCATGAAAATTGTTAGAATTGAACCCTACCATTATGTTGGGTGTTTTATATTTTCAGATTTATGAAGGTATTTGACGGAGCTTGGGGCTCCTCACCGGGAGACCGCGCAGGCCCCCCTTTGCCGGTTCGGCCGGGGGCGCTATGTGAGGTTCTTCGCCCTCGATCTGAGGAATGTCAGCGAGAAAAAGCGCACGAGACACGGGCGACGTAGACAGGTTCGGGCCGCTGAGAAGCGTAATACCCTACTCCTGTGTTCTGGTGGATCTGTGTGTGAAGGAATACAGAGAGCTCCAGCGCCAGAGAGCTCGAGAGCGAGAGAGGTCTGGCTCTCCGATCCCGTCGCCAGCCTCCGACCTCCCCTTCCTTCCCTTTTCTTTTAGGCCAGGGCCTCCTTTTTTTTTTGGTTAGGGGTCACCACATGGGCCTCTAGATGCCTAAGAAAAGAAACATGCTTTTTACAATGAGGACTAATCTACAGCCGGAAATGACCTCTGACAAGCAGTACACACGCCTCCTGCTCCGCTCCTCAGCTCTCCCGGTGGACGCCCGTTTCAACCTTCATTCAATGGCCGGTGACTTTCTTGCCATGCTTGCGTTGAAGCCTGGAATGGATCTGACCGGGACTGACATACCAACTCCAGGAGTCAGCACGCCAGCTCCGGCTAGAGACGAGAGCTAGGAAGCTCTCATCATTCCGACGGGACGGGGCGAGGCGTGCGATAGGCCGCCTGTTGCCACCTAACCCGCGATCTGACCGGTCTGTGACCGGTCACATACCGCGACTGGTCACAGACCGGATAAGCACGTGCTGCGCCGCATTGAATGCGGCGTGGCGCGCTCGTCTAACCCGCTATAAATGCGGTTAGGTGAGCGCCGCTGTGCTCACCTAACCCACACACGTGGCGCCAACACCACAGGGGGTCGGGGTGCCCCAGCCCTCGGGGCCGAAATGGGAGCGACCCGACCCCTCGGGGAGACTGAGGGAGGGGTGGCCACGTCACCCTCGGGCCCGACCCCCCCGAGGGGGTCAGGCCACGTGGGTGACCGCGGCTACCCAAGCCTCTAGTCACGATACCCCCGGCCCCATGTCACCGACAGTAGCCCCCGGCGTCACGCCAGGGCGACCGCCCCCCTCAAGGGAGGCGATCGGGCATGATGCCACTCCTTAGGCCCGGTGACAGGTGGGGCCGGTCCCCACAGGCGGGCAGAAACCCAACGGTCGCAAATCGCGCGCATCGGCAAGGGAGAAACCGATCGACAATAATGAGCGGCCTCTTCAAGACCGCTACATTACTCGAGCAGCGCGCGAATCGGGACGAGCCGGTTTGTTTCGCCTGGGGACATGATGATGGCGTTTTTCGCGGTTGGCGAGCGCGGTTAATGCGCGCACGATCTGCCCCATCTCAAACGCCACGGCCGCACATCTACCGCGTGCGCCGCAAATGGGCGAGTGGGGTTAGTGGAGGCGCGGGCGCGAGAAACGAGGGGGCGAGGTAGTGGGCGCGGGAAGCGAGGAGCCGGGCATAGCGTTGGCAAGGGTACAAAGACGCCAAGGAAGGGATTTGTTTCCTTCCTCTCGCCACTCTCCCCCTTGCCTTCGCCACTTGTGCTCTGACTCTCCGTTTCCTGCGCCCTACCCTTGCCATACTCGCTCGCTCTCAAGCTCCTCCTCCGCCGGCGTCATGGCACGGGGCTCCGCACCGCTCGAGGGTAGCGTGCTGCCGCCTTCCCGCATCGTGAGCGAGAGGCAGGCCGGGCTGCCGCGCCGATTCATGCCGGAATCTGCCACCGGCCGGGAGGTGGTCGCGTTGGGCGAGGGACGCCCGGCGCCGCACTACCCGGGGCGGTCCGTCTTCTTCCTCTCTTTCGCAATGGCGGGGCTGGTCCCGCCATTCTCTATTTTTTTCATGGATATTCTGGAGTTTTATGATCTCCAGATGGCGCACCTCACCCCCAACGCGATAATGACGTTGGCCATCTTCGCGCACCTGTGCGAGATGTTTATCGGGGTGCGCCCATCTCTCCGGCTATTCCGGTGGTTCTTCACCGTACAGCTGGTGTCGCCGCCGACGGTAGTCGGTGGCTGCTACTTCCAGCCGCGGGGGCAGGTGCTGAACCGCTACATTCCCTGCGTCCTTCGCAAAAAGTGGGACGACTGGAAGAGCGACTGGTTCTACACCCCCCTCGCCGACGAAGCACGCCTCCGACTTCCGAGCCAGCCTCCGGCGCAGGCCTCCAGCTGGCGGGCGGCGGTAGATCTGGGAGACGGCTACGACGCCGTTCTTGACCGCCTGGCGGGTCTGCGATCCCAGGGGCTCACGGGGGCCATGGTGTTCGGTGACTACCTTCGTCGCCGGATCGCGCCGCTCCAGCGGCGCGCCCGGGGCGCCTGGGAGTACACCGGGCCCGAGGACATCATGAGGACCCACCAGGGACGCAAATGGGACTGGGACCCTGAGGACTTCAGGATGGTGGTCCAACGGGTGCTGAATCTCAGCTCCGTGGAGGCATCCCTCATCCCCCAAGGGGTCCTTCCCCTCTGCTGCGATCCAGAGCGCGCCAACATCCTGACCATCATGCAGGAGGTCGGGGCGTCGGGGGAGCGGGCCCCCCGAGGCCACGATGGCGCGGGCGGGAGCCGCAGGGGGGAACAATCTACCCCGGGAGGGGGTCGTGCTTCTGGGCCCCGCGACGGGGGCCCGGGGGGCAGCCGCCCTGCCGACGCCCGGGGGAAGAGGAAGCAGGAGGGAACCCCTCCCCCATCTCCTCCCTGAGGGGGCGGGGCGGTGCGTGCCAGCAGCAGGCGCCCGGAGGGTGCCGTGCCGACGCCGCAGCCCGAGAGGGAGCGAAAGAAGAAACGGCTCCGCAAGATGGGGGGGGTCGCGCCATGCCGGGGGAACCTCATCTCGCCCCCGAGGTGGTCGTTTAGCCGACCTCCCCGCAGGTTCGTCCCCGCGCCCACCGCGGCCGTATTCATTCTCCCATCTCCCAAGGCGAGTTTTCACTCACCCGTTTCTTCTCGTCTTCTGGTTTTTCTTCTGCCTCAGTGAGATCCCGTCGCGCCCCCCCCCTTCCCGCCATTCCAAGTTTGGCCGGTCTGAGGCCGAGGAGACGGCGACCGCGGAGGTCCGGAGGCAGGAAGCTGA